TCAACTTTAACCTTTTTGTTTTTCCTTTCATCAAAAAATACTCTCGTTCTAAAATGGAAATTTTTTCCTGCCAATAAAATGTCTTGGTGGGTACACCAGAGTAAAAATTAAATTTTTTTCAAACAAACACTGTTTCAATTATATTTCAGTAGACAGATTTCGTTATCCTACGTTTGATGAAATATTTTTTCATGATCATTACACTTAGTTGTAATAAAATATAAATAATAATACAACATAATTTTCATGTAAATTCTCCATCAATAACATCCGAAAAACATTTATAGCCATTAAAATAATAATACAGCTTTAGTCATAATAACAACCGGACTGTAAATACGAATCGTTTAACACGTTTTTATGGAAGTTTTTTTTTTAAATTGGAGTTTTACGAGATGGAGCTCAAATGTCAAAGTTCAAAGGTCATTTGATGGATGTTGCTTTTCCTACAAAACATTCCTGTCTTTATGTACCTTCTCTGTTGTGCGTGGTCTCTCCTAGCTTTATTGCTTCAAACGCGATTTTTGTTGTACTTTCTTTTTGTATTGTTATTGTAAACTTATTTTATTTCTTTAATTATTTTTTGTAGTTAAAGCAATAGTAACAAAAAACATTCTTGTCGTCGTTGTTTTCGTCGTTGTTTTTAAAGTTACTCGTTGAGACATGCACCAACCGATATTTTATCACACAAATTTTCTTACAAAATCACAGTAGCAGTGTTTTAAGACATTAGCTACAGACTTAACACCGATACTTAACCGACGTCAACGAACGCCTTTGAAACTTTCTGTTGGTTGCATCTGCGGCATTGCTATTAATACATTTAATTATTATCAATTTATTATTATCTTTAAATTACTATTAAATAAACAACTAATTTATTTGCTCATAGCTCTACAAACTCACATATTTCATAACATTATCATACGTTTAACTTTTATCAATCCTGATTTTTATTGCTGAACAATTAAGTAACTTTTATTTTCTTGTTCATTATTGCAAACAGATGTGAGCCGTTATGGATTCTGCACTCAATGGAATCTGGTTACGAGATATTTTAATTGCTAATATAACGTTAATAAATAAAATGATTTGATAATTTTTTATTTCTTCCATATTTAATCAAGCGTAGTTGTATACATTATAAAAAGCTCTAATTAAGAACCTTATAATGCATTGTATTGTGCTGTACTGTATTGTATTGTATTGCATCGTGTTGTACAATATTGTTGAAGTGATAATTTAAATGTTACCAGACAAATATTCTGTAACAAACATAAAAAGTAAAAAATTTATTTTGAATGTATTCGAATCTACGTAATTATATCAAACAAATTCAAAACGAAACGAGACGTTTGTGTGAATAACATGACGCTAACAGAACAGTGATCAAAATTTTTTTGTACCGACAACAATTAAGTAACAGTGCTAATATTATCACTCTAGTTATTTCTCATACAAAATGTCAAGGGCATAACCACAAAAATATAACATAATAAAAAACCCGTCGTCATATTCACACCACATATAGTTTATCAAAACATCAATCTAAACATCACAACTTCAGTTCTATTTCTTACAATTTTGAATGGAAATAAACCGCTCGCCCATTTTTCCCGCAACATGCAGGCAAAGAACATACGCGACAATGGGATGGAATGAAATTTATGGATGTAAACAGGCGTTTCATTCAATGGCAAATCGTTTGCGGATACGCAAACAAAAATGTGCACAAAATTCATCCACTACAGGCAACCTTTGAATGGGAGATTGAATGAATGCAACGTGTAAGCGCTGTGGTTGTGTACAAAACTACTTGGTATTTTACGAGGTACTGGGTATATAAGATTGTATTTCAAGTGGTATTTACAAAAAATTGCATTGGGAATAACAGATGCATTATAGAGCAATTAAATATGACCATAAACATTTTACTTGCATGCATTTTATGTTATAATGTCGTCACAGCAAGTACGTTTATTAGAGAAAGAAACGTTGATATCATGTGCCGGCTGCAATTATAGTATTTGATGGAGCATATTGATGTTTGTATAAATAGTATTACTTAAGTAGTGGGATGTGTTATATGGAAGTTTGCAAGTTACAGTTTGTAGTAAAAGTATTGTATGAATACATGCTTGGTGCAATTTGTATTATGGGTATTGTATGATGGGTATTGTATGATTACACGCAGGGCAATGTAAAGTTTTGTTTGAAGGTACTGTGAATAATCGTAGGAGAAGTATTGTATTGAGGTACGGTGGGTACCATTCGTATGAGAGGTGTTGTATGCGTGTCTACAAAGGAAAGGAAATCATAAACCTGTTTCCATAATGACGCTGGACTGGGTAGAGCTGATGTTGACGATGACAATGAGGCAAAACAACAACAATGATGACGATGAAGGTGATGACGTGAAAATGATGATTAAAATGATGATGATGGTGATGTAATTGATGATGGGGATGTAAATGATGATAATGAAAACACTATTTATGGTAGTGTTGGAAGCAATAAGCTATTATTAAGGTTCCTATGCGAATCATAGCAGTAACGGTAAAGACTACATGACAAGTGAACAAGTGATGACCTGGCTTCGATGATTGCTGTGATAATAATGCTGATAGTTCTAACTTCATATTATAATAACATGAATCATGATTAATATTTCAAAATGGTTATTTGGTTTATAAAATGAATAAAATTTGTTAAATAGTCAAACGAATTGAATGTTTATATTGCTATACAGTGTTTGACAAATAAGTTGTTGGGTTGATAAATTTTTTTTTCATTCATTTTATAATAATGCTCAATAAGGCGTAGATAAACCATTGGATCGGTGATTTGTTAATTATCAATGATTATTATTAATATATTATTAATATTATTTATGATTAGTTAACTATTTCAAAAAACAAAATAAAATCTATTAAATTTTATCGATTGTTTAACTTTTGTCATGCCAATTAAATTAGCGTAAAATTGATAATTTGCAAGCTTCTGCATAAATAATTGGTTTGAACAAGTTGTTGCCAGCAATGCTACTTGAAAAATCTAATGTTTCCTTGAAGGATGCCAATGATTTATACGCGTGTGAAACTTTCTTTTGTCGAGCGCTGTTGTTGTTTTCGTTGTTGTTGATGAATGAAGCTGAAGCAATGATGATATATTAATGGATATGATGAAGGTGATGTTGTTAATTTAACGACAAACTTGATGGTGATAGTGACGACGACGATGATGATGTTAGTGATGATAATTGGTTAAAGACGATGATAATAATAGTAATCATAATATTAAAATCTGCATCTATAACCACCATGATAATGATAATTGATAATGATAAGGATGATGTCATTAACGATGATGATATTAGTAGCGATGATGCTTGTTATATACTCGAGTTATGCATCGCATGTTCATTCATCCTCATTCAAGTCACGTGCAAATGTCCAGAACAATGAGGTTCATGGCGGACATAAAACCATAAATATATATATTTATATATATATAAATATATATGTAATATAGATTTATATATTTATATTATATACACATGCTTATATACATGTACTATATAAGAGAGTACAATTTATCTAAACGTTAACAAACGTAATTGTTTTCGTGTTTTAAAATTTCGACTTAGTAGTTTTCTCACAGCTGAACAGCATGCAATAATCTGGAAATATTCCATAAAATGAATACTTCTTACAAGTGCTTCAAACTTTTTAAATAACATCGAGTTGTAACATTTGTTTGTTTTATGCCCACATTCACATGCTCGTAAAATATTTTCTTTTTGTTTGTAATCTTTTCAGTGTTAATGTTTGTGCTGTTGAAAATTTTATTTAATTTGTTTGTCAGTCAGTTGTGAGAATTTTTTTGAAAAATTTCGCATTTTCACTTTCACGAAAACTAACTAAACATTACTAACTGGTCAGTGGTCAGTGCTGTGGTAGGCTTCATGGTTAACTCATCAGTTGGTTGCCGTCAACTTGATGCGATGTGTGAAAAACATTAACAGTACTAATGACAGCAAAACAAACAACATACAAATTAATAATAAAGAAAATAATAATCGATTTAGCATTATCATCATCTATATCAATTTTTTTTATACAAAATATCACCAAGTTTGATGGTTTCATAATAGCAGTTTCACTTCTGTGAAGCACGAACGCCTCCAATTCAACCATCATTTATAAAGTTTTTAACTGGAGCTCTTTTTATTCATAGTTTTTTAAATTCTCTAAAAAATAGAATAAATTAATTTTTTGTGGAAAAATGTTCCACGGAGCATGGAACTTGAGGAAATGGTTGATAGGAGGAAACGCGTGTAGATGTCAGGAGCAACAATGTTTGATGAACAACCGCTGCTTGTTCTACACGTGTTCTCGTTCTATATGCACACTAGGGTGGTTACAACGCTATATGTAAATAAAAACAATTTCGAAATCTTATCGGGGGAACCCCCTAAATTGTGCCACTTGACTAAAAAATGACATTTGTAAAGTTTTAGCTCATTTGGATAATGCTAACCCGTGCCTCATCGAGGTTGAAATTTCGAAAATTTTGAAAAAAAACGCAGTTTTTGGTTTGTAAAATAAAAACGGTTCACTCTAGAAACATGGTTTTGGTTTTATTTTGTTCATTGATTAGTTTTCTTCAAATGTTACTATGATCACTATTTAGCTACAAGTTATAGTTTCTGACATATTTGCATTGTTACAGATACACTTTGAAAAAACGTTGAATTTCTCTATAACACAAAAACACACAATAACTTATAAAGAAATATTTTTAAAATAACACCGTTGTATCTAAATCACTATTATTAACAAATAAACACATTTTTTATTCATATTATATTGTTTATAGTTGTTATACATCAAATAAATTTCTACTTTAACTCGTTGTTCAAAAGGTAGAGGCTCGGATAAGGAGGCTTTTGAGCAACCAGGAAATTTTGTCCGACATTCAGCAATTACTTGCAAAAGATATTATTTGTGATCTTCCTCTTTTGTAATACATGAGTTGTAATCTGTTATTAATTTAACACCCCTTTCTGCTGTATCATTTGTAACTTTTAATCCGTCCACAATCTTTTTACTCTTTAAATATTCTTCGTTATTACTCCATAATTCTGGATTGGTATGCAAAAGTTGATCATTAATATTAAATCTTTTTAAAAAAATTATTTGATTGTGATGAAATAAAATGGTCCGCATTTTTGTCCAATATTTCTGATACTTCATTTATTTTTATTAGTGGTTTCATATCACAGTAGTCATCAAGTTCTTCATCCTCATTTGCTTGAGATATTAATTTTGTTACCATTCTCTTTTATACACAATTACTTAATGAATCATCGAATAATGAAAAAACAGCCTGCTCAAGATTTTGAAACTGATATATCTGAGATAAATTTATTGACTTCATTGTAATTTACCAAAGATTTTAACAATTGTTAAATCTTGGTTTGGAGCAAGTGCAGGTTTCGGGGCATCCAACCACACTTTCACATAAATATTTATAATAAATAGGCAAATATCATGGAATCCTTGCTTTTCAAAAATTGTCAGTTGAAACTGTTCTCTGAAAAGGTATATTTTCAACGAATATATCGCTTTTGCCATCCACCTTGCGTGATGAAAAGCACTAGGAGCCGCAAACACGATGTTTTCTGAAGGAAAGCGTTCTAAAAATAAAAGACAAAGATTAATCAATTCTTTGTAATCGCTCCTTGGATGATGAACTGTTAATTGTTATAGAAGATGACTTGAAATTTAACCCGGATTAATCAATTTGCTGGCAACACTCTTATCTTTAACTTCAGATTTAAATTTTTTTATCAATGTTGTTCCATTCAGTTTTAAATTTTTTGAAAATATCCGATTGAGGGCCTGTAGTCTTTCCCATTCCAGCATCAAAAACGGACCTCAAAACTACCTCAAAAATGTGGTGGCGACATGGAAGATACAATAATTTTTTCTCCATCAATTGCACTAATAAAACGGAAGCACCTTTAATGCGGCCAGTATTCAAGTGCACCCCACTTTCCAAGTTCTGAATAAACAGATTTTTCAATTGTACTGCCAGCACCATTTTCTAATTGGGGAACTCCAATTAACTATTCTTCTTCTTCACAGCTAATTAAGACTGCAACTCTTTCAACATTTTCTTTATTTAACATATCTGGAAGTAATTTCCCATCCCAATGTATAACTGCTCCTTACCAAAAATGAGAAATCGTAGAAAAACCAAAAGATCTTAATATTAATACATAAAAACAACATAGAGCACCCGGGTTAGTAATAGTAAATAATTTATTGTGTGTTTTTGTGTTATGGAGAAATTCAACGTTTTTTCAATGTGTATCTATAACAATGCAAATATGTCATAAACTATAACTTGTAGCTAAATAGTGATCATAGTAACATTTGAAGAAAACTAATCAATGAACAAAATAAAACCAAAATCATGTTTCTAGAGTGAACCGTTTTTATTTTACAAACCAAAAACTGCGTTTTTTTTCAAAATTTTCGAAATTTCAACCTCGATGAGGCACGGGTTAGCATTATCCAATTGAGCTAAAACTTTACAAATGTCATTTTTTAGTCAAGTGGCACAATTTAGGGGGTTCCCCCGATAAGATTTTGAAAAAAAATTTCTTGTGATCACACTAATGCACACGCATGCCGGCCTAACCATAAACAAACAAACTAAGCACTGGCAACATGCACTATGACAAAAAGATATGAACTATGCAAATGTTTAAATAAAATTTTTGGTGTGCAGACATAATACGTTTTGATAGCAGATTTGAAAATGATTCTAATGTCTTAGCAATTGTATTCACTTAATCTATTTGATATTTTTACATATTTTTTGTTATCTATCACATATTCATGTTAATAAATAATAACTACTTATTTTAAAAGTAGTATATAAAAATAAAATATCATAAACTAGTTATTTGAGAGAAGTACATACAATTAGACAATATTTGTAGCTACATTAGCATCCAAATGACAGAAATTTAAAAACACCATGCAAATGATTGTATAATGTTTGAGCTTATATTTTTCCAAAACACGCGAGCGTTGGCAAAGAAACAAATAACACCCGTGCATGTGTCCGCACACTTGCAGACAGACTCAATTTTTTGTCCTCATCGGTGGCTGGGCAATGGTTTGCAAAGTGGCGACTGCGTTGAGTGAAAGCTGACTGGAGGCCTTGTGGCAGAACTTGATGTAATTTGATGTGATTGCATGTTACGATGAATGATGTAGTTTGATGTGATTGGATGTCAGGATAAGTGATGTTACTTGAATCTGTCATTTGATGTCCTGTTATTCTCCTTCCTGTTTTGATCACGTTAGACACCTCGAAAGATAATGACGAGCTTTCCAATGTTTTAATAGAAAGCAAAATGATGGATTCGCCCTATCGTATCTTTCCATTTGAACTCTTCACTGGTAGCAAATGACGTTGAAATAGTGAAAATTTTATCTCACTCGATACAAAGTTAATTTATTTTATAAATTTATTCATTAAGTCTGTTAATTAAATCAGGCAATAAACAATATTTCAAAAATTATAAACTACAAAAACATTGCCTTTAATGTAAATTTGTTGTAATATTTGCTCCGATTTTGTTTTATTCCGGATTCTTTCGTTTCTCTGATTGTAAAACTGGCAGTTGTCATTTAAATGAATTCCGCAGCCAACAAACATAAGAAGGAAGGAGTTGATCATAGCGTGATGATATCAATTTATAAATATAGGGAAATAAAAATAATTCACCGTAAAAACAAGTTCAGTCACTATTAATATATGAATAATTTGATGTAATTCAGTTTCAGGATCTGCAGTTACACAATGCCATCAGATCGTAAAAATGCCTGTTCCTGTAGAAAGCACGTACAACATTTTAAGCAAAACGTGATTGCCTGTTGTACAACTATGTTATTGTATTAATTTTTGCTTATTCGCTATAATGTCTGCTTTGTGATATCATCGTAATCGGGTTACGTTCCAGCTGATTAGACATAATTTTTTCATAACAAATTAAATTATAAAAGTTAAGTTTGTTGCATCGTCATTACTTGTTTAACAATAGTGTATTTATTACAAGCGCCTGATGAGTCTACTGAAGAACATTTTCACGGCCGCAGTAAAAATTTTCATTATCTTGAGTTGAAAATAAACTTTGCAAATCATACAGAAATATGACCAGGTGTAGCACGGACGACTTGAGAAACTTTTAAAGATCTTCTGAATTGTTGCATTTACTGGAGTTAAACAAAAATAACATTTCCAATTAATTGAATTTTACAAAGCTCTTGCAATCGTCTCAAAATTAATTTGAGGAGCAAAAACTTCAGGTCACATCTGGCTGAAAAATTTTAAATGCTAATATGAAAAGGATTGTCGAGAAAAAAAATTACTGTACAAACTGTACAACCAACTTAAGTGGCATACAACCATCCGTCTATGAACGTGTACATCTAAGTATAATAGCTCACATGTGTTGTGTACTATACCCATTGGGGCTCTCATTTGTGCGGAGACAGTACATTTTTACAGTTAATCATATTACGTTGATGCGAGCAAGTCATACTCGGGAATGCATGACAAATTGCCGCAACTTCAAATCCATTGCACAAAACATTTCTTGATGATGCAAGAAAACAAACAACAAAACGCATTACAAACATATACAATTTTTTGTAAGATGTGTGAGTATTTCAAACTTGTTGCTAAAAATTTTTGTGAGATAATTAATAAGGTAGTTTGAGACGACAAATTTTTTAGTTGATAAGAGGCAAATACTTACATTGAGAGAAACACCTTTGTCAACTTCTAGCACAAGTTTGTTATATTTTGGTGTTGTCAGTCTTTCATTAATCAAACACAGAAAATATAACTTATCGGCCAATAATATGAAACTTGCTGATTGTAATTATATATCGCACCTTATCAGCGCACACGTACATCAACCTGGATAGCTTCTGTTTTTGGTTGTCGTGATAAATTTTCTTTTTGGCCGCTATCCACGCCAATAAATTAAATTTCTGAGGTAAGTTTATAAAATATGAACATGCACAAAACGTGTCAATCAACTTTTTTTTATTTTATCAATACTTTGTGATGGAAATGACCTTGCGTAAGTTTTGCAAGTCGAGAGAGGGGATGAGTTAATTCTTCAGTTAGAATTATTTAAACTTCAGTGTTCTCCATGATTTCTCTCTTTTTCTCACTCTTTCTTTCTCATTATTTTCATTTTTGTTCCCAATCTATTTTTTTCTATATATATATATATATATATATATATATAAACCTACATTTCTACACTCTTTCTCTCACACACACACATAACACATACACATCACCTACACATACACGCAGTTTAAAAAAATTAAAAATAAACTTATTGGAACCACTGTTTTGTTGGGAACAACAACTAATTTATTGACCACCGGCAGAATAATTAAACTATGAAGATGTATAACACAACTATGACATTTGACCTTTGCTGTAATGGGAACATAAAATTGTTAAAAAATTGAGATATGGATGTTCATTTGCTTCATAATCATGGTGGGCCATAAAGAGAAATTACATTTCTAGCGGAACAATTCAATGATATTAGTATTAACTTATGTAGCTCTGTACCTTCAAGCACAAAAACAATTTCAATCCTACTAGATTTTTTATTGTTTTAAAAATGATTTTTAAATACTTTTAACACAAAACACATTTTTGAATTTAACCTAAAAGAAAAAAATTTGCTTAGATATTTTTATCAAAAAAAAATTTTTTGAAAGGTTTATTATGATTTTTTTTTATATTACTAAAATTTTTCTCTTATTTCTCTCAATTAATTCTAAAAAAAAATCAACAAACACACACACACTTTGCTGAATCCACGCCACGCACACAGAGCGCGCATTAGATGGAAATTGCCGTCACTTGAGCCAGGTACTTAAACCATTAACCATTTGCCATTCATTAAAACATATAATTGAAGTACGCCGCGTCTTCAACAAATTTTTAACGTTATAAAGTTTATAAAAAGCAAATTATTCAATCAATTCATCTGTTCAATCTTTCCTATAAACAATCCAACATGCAGTCCTCTCCACCAACCAACCAGCATGCAGTCCTCTTTAGTATTAACACATTTGCGAGATATGTTCTTTCTGAATTATAGGATTAGCAACAAGAATGTACAATTTTTTTTCTGTTTTGTTTTTGTTCACACGGAAAAGGTGTTATTAAAATATTTTAAAGCGTAGAAAAGGTCCAAAATGTTATAACGTTTAATTTTGAGTTTTTTTTTCTTTTTTGAAGTCTCAGAAAATTTAATGATTCAAACTCTTGCAACAATTAAAGCAGCTGTTTTTCATTTATAACGATAAAAATTTTACAAAAAGTTTGTTGAGTTTACGTCAAAATTATTTTCAGACGTCTGCTTTTTTGTTCAATATCTTTTTGTCGGTTACCATTTAAATATATGTTGATTAAAATACAAAAAAAAATTGAACAAAATGATAAATAAATTTGATGAATAGTGTGTTGCATCTGCAGTTCTGACCTGAGCAGAGCAGCACATCATTAGATGTTGCATGAAGATACATGATTCCGAATGTTGCATTATATTATCGTTATAATATCCTCGCATTATATCATGCTCATGTAAAGAGGACTGCTTCTTTATGACGAGGGCTTGTTGTTAGTGTCAGACGTGATTTGTTCTCTTTTGCTGCTCATCATAGCTGCCGTCCAGTTTCAAGGTAGTTAAGCTTATGTTAGTCGTTTTCAGCATTTATGTTATTCTTTGTAATACTCTAATGCCTTTAGTCAAAGATTTAAATCACCACTTAGACCATTACAATTTCCCGACAATAGTATTAACAGCATTTTTGTAACTTGCGTGGCTGAGTGAGGAATTTTTTAACAAACGTCATTCACGAAACGTTAAACAAGAAAATAAATTTCGTCGTCAAAACTTTTTCACACAAATAAATTGATCGTAATTTCATTTTGAATAAATTAATAAATTATTAAGTTTATTAAAATTTAAGGAAGCATTAAAGTTA